CGGTCGACCGGTGCGGTCGACCGATGGAGCTTTCGGTCGACCGGACCGGTCGACCGACAGACTCTCTGTCACACAGTGAGAAATGAACAAATGATCGGTCGACCGGTACGGTCGACCGGAAATTGATATTCCAGGTTCTGAAAACTGTTAACGGTCGACCGGAAATTGATATTCCAGGTTCTGAAAACTGTTTATCTGATTTTAAAACACTGTTTAAAAATATCAAATAAATTCCAAAAAATGTAAAACTTTGGGGAATGATTATAGACATGATAATAAACATGCTACAACGACTGGTTTCGAAAAAGGACTTCCCAAATGAAAAATATCATATTGGTTTTAGAGCTGATTTTAAAACCCTGTTTAAAAATATCAAATAAATTCCAAAAAATGTAAAACTTTGGGGAATGATTGTAGACATGATAATAAACATGCTACAATGACTGGTTATCAAAAAAGGACTTCCAAATGAAAAATATCATCATTTTGCAAAATAGTTCAAAACATGAAAATATGAGATACTTGAATTTTGATGTTTTGACATAAACCAACTTTTGAAACTTTGTAAAATGTTTTTATAGACTTAGTAAAACATGTATAAACTGATATTGAAGTCTACAAACTAAGAATACAATATTTTCACAAATACAATAGAAAATGAAACCTATGAGTATGTATATGAAAATATATTTGTTTCATATCTAAGTAGATAAACCAAATCACAATAATAAATATGAAACATGTAATTTCATATTTATAAACATGAAAACTAAAACTTGTGTTGTATATATATGTGACTACATATATATACAAGGAAACCAATAAAATGTGTGTGTATAGATAATTGAGCTTAGAGTACTTAACACACATAATATAAATCCTAAACTACATTACCCAAGGAATCTTGATCTTCAATTAAGCTTGACTTGGTACACGTTGCGGATGAAGCTTGAACTTGATCTTTAACTTGAATTGTTGTATAGGCTTCAATCCGACATTCCGCCAACCTCCTTTGGATATCATCGTTGAAGCTCTATTCCATCCATCCTCCAACAACATTGTTTGCCTAGAATAAATACGAAAACACAAATACTAGACAAACAACATTAGAAGTAAATTGTTTGTAAAACATCATCAAAATAAGAAGGCCAACACCCTTATCTGCTGTATATCCATTTCCATTTCGATTTTGAATGCTTATTTCTGCTTGGCTAGAGCATCCGCAACCATTTTGGCTACTTCCTTGGTGTTAATTATAAACACTTTATGGGATTATCCTGGACTGGATACCGTTTTGTCAGAGGCGACTACAGAGTTGGTATCTGATGCTTCATCATCCAAGGATAATCCCCTCTGTATTCTCTGATAATTTCTTTGTCTAATGGTTCCCGATCGTAACCAGGTTAGACGATGAGATATGAGTGGGTCAGAACTAGAAGGTCGAGCCGACTTTCCCTTATTAGTCATGTTAATTATGACTTCTAGAAGTTCGTCATCTTGAACAGCTGATCGCTTCTTACGGAGACGTATTGGTTTGGACTTAGCCTTTCCGTTGGAGATTCTCTCGAATATCGAGGCCCTCTGTGGAGCGGTCTTGGGGCAGCTACACGCTGATAACACTGCCCTGATTAATTTGATGCACGGATAATGAAAGTTCGTCTCTCGGGTATCTCTCTTTCGAGATTGTACCCCCAGCCTGATAGTACAACTTATCAGCATGATGACCGGAGCAACCTATCGTGTGTTGGCACGACTTCTCAGATATAATGTTGTTGTCTGATGAACACATTTCCTTCTGAGGATTCGTCATCTTGTTGACACTCTCAAGAGTCGCATGTTTTGAGCTACGCCTTTGTGAGTGTGGGGCCTCAACGTACTCTTGGACTTCGACACACAGTTCGAGATGGTTAGTTATAAAAGTTTTCTCTTTATGAGAAGGTTCAGACTTGTTGCAAGGGCGAGTACGACCCCCAGCTCGATGAGTTGCTCGGGATTCATTCACCATACCTAAGAGTTCCTTGACCAGAAATCTGTCTCGATCTTCATGTAGAGGACTCAGGTGATCCTTCAACGGAATTCTGGATTTAGAGAGATTCACGTTATTGTAGGGCTTCACCGGAGGTGCGGGAGCAATAGGAGCGTGATCTAAAGTTGACGAAGGATGGGGAGCAGCCTCGGATCTGGAATCAAGCGAGAGACACGACTGGTGTCTCTTGTCGGGTAGAGGTGCTGTTTTGGCCTACGACATCCAGTCCTGCTTAGATCTTAATGGTTTCTTGACCACCTCTTTCTGCTGCAATTTTTTTGCTTCTTGTGCGAGAATCCGTGTGTGCGTAAGTAGTGCTTGGCGTTTCTGGATACGCTCCTCGAGGGTAGAACAGGTTTGTTTGACACGAACCCATTTGTTAGTTGATGGTTGGGAGTGATCAGTACATTTGTAACTACAGGTCCTTTTACACCGACTGAAGGTTGGACCGATCACATCCAAAGTATTTCAGGCTCATCTATAAAAGAAACGAGACTAAAACACTTTGGAGGGGGTATATGTAGGTATTAAAAATTACTTATAAATTCCCACAAACAGCTCGAAGCTGAGAGAAGACGATGAACATCACTATCCAAGTCACGTAAGATTAATTAACGTCGAAGAGCACATGAAGTAATTCGACAAACCGTGTGAAGCAACGGAACTGCAGAATAACGAGAATATAAACTGATCGGGAGCCACGCTTTGCTGATAAAAAGACGAAGCACCCTTCATATCTTATCTGCTCCACATATGATCCAACTATAGGATCTTTTATATCTCCTCGTCGGATTTCCTACGCACTTTGAATCACGTAATTCTGAGTTCGGACGACAAAGATACGATGAAAATGGACAGAACACGCGAAATAATGTTCCAGGCCTCGGTGTCTCAGCCTTGGCCGAGACACCCACAGGTGTCTCAGCCTTGGCCGAGACACCCACAGGTGTCTCGGCCACTGTCAAGACACCACAGGCATCCGCAGCTCTAAAAACTAATTTTTTATAGTTTCAAGCTGTTTTTTCAACGTTAACCACCTGGATTTGTTCCAACTGATCTGAACCTATCCTAGAACGTGATAAAGTGGTTATGAGTAAGGATAAAAGTGAATCGGTTGTTCTTATCTGAAAACAAAGGTCCCAAAAGCCTATAAATACAGCCCCAGAACCTTAATTTTTTGAGAGCTGGAATTCTTGAGCGTTAGCGAAGCCCTGCTGGATTGAAGACTGAAGGAGCACGAATTTCAAAAGAGAGGAGGAGATCGGATCAAGTTCGTCAGCATAAAGAAGAGGAGCTTGTCAGATCTACAGTTCCCGATTCCTTCCCTTGAGATTACCCCGTTGTGATGATCTCAAGAAGAGTGATTATCTCGTTGTTACCGAGATAATTGCTTTGGTTTCTTAATTCCTTCGCGAATCAACGAAGCTTTGGATCTGATCTAATCATTTGGTAGTCTACGGATATCAACATCCCCGTCACAGGCCAATATCCCACGCAAGCAGCGGAGGATAAATGTCCATTGTGTTTGTTGACAAGAAAGTTATAATTTTTGTTGAAAGTCTTATAAAAAGACCATTTTTTGAGTTTGTTGTAAAAGTTTGAAGTTGTAATGAACTCGTCAATAAAATCAACTTTCTTCCCCAACAATTATTTGTTAATTATATATCGTATTAACAATAAACGTATCAAATTGATAGCAAAAAGAATCTAATTGGTGCTTAGTGTGGATTGCTATGTAGAACTACACTTTTGGTAAAGCAATATAAGTTGTCAAGACTTTTGTAGCTCATTGTGGAAGAATTTCGTAAGCTTAAAGAAACCAGTCAGATTTCAAAATAAACTATAAAATTAACTTGTGAACGTGAAAGTAACAAGTTCGTATGAAAGTTAACATGCGATGGTGATAGTTAACAGACTAGATAACAGGTTAATGTGAGAGTTAATAGACAACGGTGATAGTTAACATACGACAGCAAGAGTTAACAGGTTCAGGTGACAGTTAAGATATAGGTGTGATAGTTAATAGACGATAGGAATAGTTAACATGTAACTATTAAAGTTAACATTTTAAGATGGGTCTGTAATATAAAACCTAAAATCATAAAACTTACATCACACAAACCCCAATTTAAACAAGTTAATAATTACTTACATTTCAGTTGGAACTTTCTGCGTTTTTTTCAGTTATAATATCTCTATAACATTTTCTCTGTACATGACCTGTTATTATCATATTTCAAGAAACCACAACCCTCTTTGGCATTTTATTAAATACTCTAAAGGCATGATAAATTTTCATCCCAAATAATATCAATTTAACCTGCAAGCAAACTCATCCACCTCATAACCATTTTGATAAGGACAAATTTTGAAAATCAACATTTTTGGCAATTTAAATAGCAAAACCGACCTCATATGGTTTTATTCAGCAAAACCGACCCTTTTCGGAAGAAAAGAGTCGGTTTTGCTGCGGTGTAATTTTTACGAAATGCACGGGACTGCTAGTCCCGTGCATTTCAAAGCTGGGTTGAAATGCACGGGACTAGCAGTCCCGTGCATTTCATTTGAAATTGCAACAGCGATCTCCAGCTGCATTCATGTCTTCTTTTCTCCACTCGTCAGCATAACTCATTTCCTTTCCGCAGGAACACCGCACGTTAGGAACAGAGCTATAATAACAGGTGGCTTTGGAGCAGCAATCTGATTCCGGACACCTGAAGAACCTTCTTGGGTGAACGTTAACTGCTAAATCCTCGCAGCGGAGTCCCGCCGCATTCAGAGGATTAAGCAGCATGGCTTTGCAAGCCTCAGTCTGAAAGTGCTGGCTGTCGAGGCCCTCAACGCTCTTGTACAAATTACCAATGCATCCTAGTGATGAATCTTTTCCGACGAGTTTGACGACACTCCCCATCGGCATTGTCAGAAAACTTAGCAGGATATCAAAGAAATCCTTGTCTGATTCAGCCATCACCACTCGAGACAGCTGCTTGTCGACCAGAAGCTTCAGGCTTATCTTCTTGTTGTTGGCCATGGTGCACGAGAGTTGCTATGTTGGAGAGGGCGGCGGCTTGATAATTAGGGCAGAAACACGAGATGAGGAAACCCTCACCTTTTTGAATAATTGGAGATCTGTTGCAATTTCAAATGAAATGCACGGGACTGCTAGTCTCGTGCATTTCAACCCAGCTTTGAAATGCACGGGACTAGCAGTTCCGTGCATTTCGTAAAAATTACACCGCAGCAAAACCGACCCTTTTCTTCCGAAAAGGGTCGGTTTTGCTGAATAAAACCATATGAGGTCGGTTTTGCTATTTAAATTGCCAAAAAGGTTGATTTTCAAAATTTGTCCTTTTGATAAACAATACATATGTCCCAAAATCACAAAAATCTCATCCTCCTCCTTCATTACCCACTAGATATGAGCCATAACCATAACCTTCATCTCCTACCACCTTCTACGCCTCTTACAGACCACGCTTCATCATCAAATCTATCCATACCCCTTCCTATCTCCCTTTACTTCCCATCACCATGGACCTTACCTTCCTTCTCTCCTAATCCTTCTCCATGCTCATCTCTATCCATCTCGTCAACCGCCTCTCATTCTTCTTTAAGCCTTCTCAACATTTGCCTAAGATGAAGGTGTTGGAGGGTACGCTCGATGGTGGCGGCGGAGGAGGCAGGTGAGGAAGACATTGGGGTGGGAGGGTAAGAGGAGTAAGAGGGAGAGAGAGAGAGGAGAAAGGCAGAGTTAGGGGAGAGGAGCAGAGAAGAAGAGGAGGAAGGAGCAAAGAGGAGAAGAAGAAGTACATAAGGGGCAGTTTTGGGGTTTTTTTGGGTTATTCATTGGGACAATGTCAAAAAGGGCTGAATCATAAAAACGTTTGGTATTTGGGGCTTATACATAAGAGAATTAATATAGGGGAAGGGGGAACAAAAACTTTTTTTTATTAGGGCATTGACACAAAATTTCCTTCTTTTTTTCCTTCTTTTTGAAAGCAACGATCAGGATTTGAGATGTTTGTTTATATAAAGAACCCAATTTTATTGAATTGATGAAATAGTGTAAAAAATAAAAATAAAAAATCTTTTAATAAAAAAGAGTGCCCCCTCATGGCTCAATTTGGCAATGCTTGCAACGTTATTCATTATTAAACTAAATAAACAACTATAAATGTTTTGGTTTTCCATAATGATTTAGCAAAAAGAGAGCTACAGCTTCAATAATAATTGTAATTGATTTAAATTGTGTTCTTTTTCCAAATTTTTACTCAAAACGAAATACAGTCTTTATTTTCATGGTAGGCAATCATGATTCACAAATGGAATTCCTCATTGTCTTAGGTCATGATCAGTTAAGGGAATCTGAATAATTACTTAAACAAAATTATTTAGCACTACCCCATTTTCCGAAAACTATTATAGACAAAACTAGCCAAAACACTAAAACATGTCCAATTAAATTATGAGTTTTCGTTTTAATGAAAAGTAAAATTAAGCATATTGAACTAATGGTGTTTTTAGGTTCTAACTGTTAACAAACAATAAAGTTTACTAAATTCTGTCCTCTCTTTCCTAAAAAGTTGAAAGCCTATCCTCCAAGAAAACCCAAGTCATTAAACCTGTCAGTAAATTACACTTTTTCCTCTACCCATTGAAAAACGTGTCAGAAATCTCCAATAGATTTTGCTGACATCACCCTGTCATCTCCTTATTTCCCAATACTGCACGTCCTTGCTCTGGTCAGAACTAAAAGTCTCTCTCTCTCTCATTCTCATTTTTTTAATATCTTTTGTTATGTTTTTTGCTAAATTGTAAAAAAATTCAAGGGAAAAATGTGTACATACCCCAAAAGGAGAAACTTCATGTGACGAGGTTCTTCATAGTTTTCCCCATGTGAATCAGCCCCTTGATGTGTGACACTTTGTACTGCAGTCATTTTTTATCAATTATTACATATCAGCTAAGCTAAAATCCATAATTTATCCTTATCCTCTCTCCTCAATCTCTCAGACCCAGCAATCATATCATCTTTCTCTCTCTCTCCCTCTCTCTCTATCTCTCTCTCTCCTTTCTCTAAAACTAAGAGCTTTCTCAAGCTAGTCAACTTGGCCCTCTCCCTCCTCGCCGTTGCCGCCTCCGCTCAGGCCCCCAAAGCTCCCCTCGAGTTCGTCGCCGCCTCCCCTCCCTTCCTCCACCCGTCCTCGTCGTTGTAGATCGTCGCCGCTCCCCCGCCGTAGATCGCCGCCGTCGAGACGCACAGAGCATTAATCCATTAGCTAGAAGAAGAAAAGAAAAAAAATGTTTGACCAACTACAAATAAATGAACGATTTAATTTTAAAAAATAGTCAAAAGTTGTCCCCATTTTTCCACTTTCACGAGACATCCACGCCTTTTTGGAGGAAGCTGAATTTACAATAAACCTAATGTGCGCAGTCTTTTTGTATTTTAATTTCGAACAAATTTTTAAAATAGACCATTTTTAAAACTTAATTAACAAAATAGGCTGAAAAAATATTTAATTACCAAAAATTGTTGTAAGCTGGGACAGTAGTTATAAATCGTTGTTATAAATGAGGATACTGTCATATTTTTATAAATCATTGTTAATTATATTTGATAATAGTTAAACCTAATGATATGCTATTTCTAGATGCTATCGTAGTAGTTCTAGTAGCCCTCGAGTTAGTTCTAGCTTCTATTACCATAGTTCTAGCTTGTATACAGCCAGTTCTAGCCCACACCTTATTAGTTCTAAACTCAGCTCGCGTTTTTTACCTTCACACTTGTTAATTCATGCTTCTACGTTAGTTCTAGCTTCTATTACCCTAGTTCTAGCTTGTATACAGCTAAACCAAACCCGCGTTTTTTACATGCACACTTGTTAATTCTTGCTTCTACGTTAGTTCTAGCTTCTATTACCCTAGTTCTAGCTTGTATACAGCCAGTTCTAGCCCATACATTGCTAGTTCTAAACCCAACAAGGGTTTTTTACATGCACACTTGTTAATTCTTGCTTCTACGTTAGAAACCCAACAAGGGTTTTTTACATGCACACTTGTTAATTCTTGCTTCTACGTTAGTTCTAGTTTCTATTATCCTAGTTCTAGCTTGTATACAGCCAGTTCTAGCCCACACCTTGTTAGTTCTAAACCAAACCCGTATTTTTTACATGCACACTTATTAATTCTTGCTTCTACCTTAGTTCTAGCTTCTATTGCCCTAGTTCTAGCTTGTATACAACCAGTTCTAGAACACGAGTTGGGTTTAGAACTAGAATTAACAAGTGTGCATGTAAAAAATCCTTGTTGAGTTTAGAACTAGCAAGGTGTGTGCTAGAACTGGTTGTATACAAGCTATAACTAGGATAATAGAAGCTAGAACTAATGTAGAAGTAAGAATTAACTAGTGTGCATGTAAAAAACCATTGTTGGGTTTAGAACTAGCAATGTGTGGGCTAGAACTGGCTGTATACAAGCTATAACTAAGGTTATAGAAGCTAGAACTAACGTAGAAGCAAGAAATAACAAGTGTGCATATAAAAAACCCTTGTTGGGTTTAGAACTAGCAAGGTGTGGGCTAGAACTGACTGTATACAAGCTAGAACTAGGGTAATAGAAGCTAGAACTAACGTAGAAGCAAGAATTAACAAGTGTGAATGTAAAAAACCCTTGTTGGGTTTAGAACTAACAAGGTGTGGGCTAGAACTGCCTGTATACAAGCTAGAACTAGGATAATAAAAGCTAGAACTAACGTAGAAACAAGAATTAACAAGTGTGCATGTAAAAAACCCTTATTGGGTTTAGAACTAGCAATGTGTAGGCTAGAACTGGCTGTATACAAGCTAGAACTAGGGTAATAAAAGCTAGAACTAACGTAGAAGCATGAATTAACAAGTATGAAGGTAAAAAACGTGGGCTTGGTTTAGAACTAGCAAGGTGTGGGCTAGAATTGGATGTATACAAGCTAGAACTAAGGTAATAGAAGCTAGAACTAACGTAAAAACAAGAATTAACAAGTGTGCATGTAAAAAACCCTTGTTGCGTTTAGAACTAACAAGGTGTGGGCTAGAACTGGCTGTATACAAGCTAGAACTAGGGTAATAGAAGCTAGAACTAACGTAGAAGCATGAATTAACAAGTGTGAAGGTAAAAAATGCGGGCTGAGTTTAGAACTAGTAAGGTGTGTGCTAGAACTTGTTGTATACGAGCTAGAACTAGGGTAATAGAAGCTAAAACTAAGCTAGAAGCTAGAATTAACAAGTGTGCATGTAAAAAACCCTTGTTGGGTTTAGAACTAACAAGGTGTGGGCTAGAACTGGCTGTATACAAGCTAGAACTAGGGTAATAGAAGGTAGAACTAACGTAGAAGCAAGAATTAATAAGTGTGCATGTAAAAAACCATTGTTGGGTTTAGAACTAGCAAGGTGTGGGCTAGAACTGGCTGTATACAAGCTAGAACTAGGGTAATAGAAGCTAGAACTAACGTAGAAGCAAGAATTAACAAGTGTGCATGTAAAAAACCCTTGTTAGGTTTAGAACTAGCAAGGTGTGGGCTAGAACTGGCTGTATACAAGCTAGAACTAGGGTAATAGAATCTAGAACTAAGCTAGAAGCTAGAATTAACAAGTATGCATGTAAAAAACGCGAGCTGAGTTTAGAACTAGCAAGATGTGGGCTAAAACTGACTGTATACAAGCTAGAACTAGGGTAATAGAAGCTAGAACTAACGTAGAAGCAAGAATTAACAAGTGTGCATGTAAAAAAACCTTGTTTGGTTTAGAACTAGCAAGATGTGGGCTAGAACTGGCTGTATACAAGCTAGAACTAGGGTAATAGAAGCTAGAACTAACGTAGAAGCATAAATTAACAAGTGTGAAGGTAAAAAACACGGGCTAAGTTTAGAACTAGTAAGGTGTGGGCTAGAACTGGCTGTATACAAGCTAAAACTAAGGTGATAGAAGCTAGAACTAACTCGAGAGCTACTAGAACTACCACGATAGCATCTAGAAATAACATATCATTAGGTATAACTTTTATCAAATATAATTAACAACGATTTATAAAAATATGACTGTATCCTAATTTATAACAACGATTTATAACTACCATCCTAGCTTACAACGATTTTTGGTAATTAAATATTTTTCAGCCTATTTTGCTAATTAAGTTTTAAAAATGGTCTATTTTAAAAATTTGTTCGAAATTAAAATACAAAAAGACTGCGCACATTAGGTTTGTTGCAAATTCAGCTTCCTCCAAAAAGGCGTGGATGTCTCATGAAAGTGGAAAAATAGGGACAACTTTTGACTATTTTTGAAAATTAAATCATTCATTTATTTGTAGCTGGTCAAACATTTTTTTTCCTTTTCTTCTTCTAGCTAATGGATTAATGCTCTGTGCGTCTCGACGACGGTGATCTACGACGGGGAGCGGCGGCGATCTACGGCAACGCGGGTGGAGGAGGGGAGGGGAGGCGGCGGCGAACTCGAAGGGAGCCTTGGGGGGCCTGAGCGGAGGCGGCAACGGCGAGGAGGACGAGGACCAGGTTGACGAGCTTGAGAAACTCTTAGTTTTAGAGAGAGGAGAGAGAGAGAGAGATGAGAGAGAGGAGATGAGAGAGAAAGATGAGAGAGAAAGATGATATGATTGCTGGGTCTGAGAGATTAAGGAGAGAGAATAAGGATAATTTGGGGATTTTAGCTTAGCTGACATGTAATAATTGATAAAAAAGACTGCAGTATAAAATGTCCCACATCAAGGGGCTGATTCACATGGGGAAAACTATGAGGGGTCTGTCACATGAAGTTTCTGCTTTTGGGGCTTGTACACATTTTTCCCAAAATTCAAAGAAGTTACTTTTGTTATAGTGTCTGAGATAAATAGAAAATTCCATTCAATTTAGCAGAAATTTCTCTATATTGATAAAAAGTTTTCTTGGTCTTAAGATCCGCAGGACATTTCCTTACTCTGTTGATTCTAATTGAGAATATCTTTTATTATTTAAAACTTATCAAAATTCTTAAATAAACCTTCCAAATACATTTGAGAAGAACGAAATCAATGTATTTTCAATGGAGTAATAGTAAATATTTTAATTGAAGTTATATACAATTTTGATGAACTAGTAGAATTTTGACGCTCACATTTTAATTAGAAAGTAAAATATTCTTCTTGTATACCTGTTAATTTATTAATGTGAACATAATCTATATTCTCTACTCCTTGTTTATTTAGGGGGTTATTGGTTGGAACAAGTTGATGCTAAGTGGAATAATTGTTCTAATAGAATAATTTTATCCCTATGAGATAATTTGAGTGGTGTAAAGTTGGACAATTTAGGATAATAGGACAATTTGAAGCTTTTATTTGACAATTCATGTGGAATAATTAATGGTGTGACACCTTATTAAAATATAATATTTATCTATCAATTAAGTCTAAATTAAATTACCTAATTGGTTTAGTATACTATTTGGTATGTTATTAAAATATAATATATTATTTTACTTTATACTAAACTATAATATAATATATTATAATAATATGATATATTACATAATAATCTATATAATATACAAACAATATATTTAATGCAATATTTTAATAATATAATTTTTAATCAAATATTATAATATTTTGTTTAATTCAATATAATATTATTTAAAATATTACATTATTATTAAAAATATAATAGTTTATTTTATTTTATGATAATTACTATAATTTAAATAGAATAATTGATGATATAGCTCCTTATTAAAATATAATATTTATAATAACTATAATATACTATTAATATGTTCAATATTATTAACTAAAAATATTACTAATTAATATATTATATTATATTAATTTTGTATATAATATTATATATAATGTCGTAATTTAATATATAGTAGATTATTACAATTTTTAGTGTAGCAATAAAATATTATTTAATAAATAGTAAATTATAAAAAATTAATTATTATGATATATATATAATGTTATATCAGATAGAATTATATAATATTTTATTATCTTATGATTATAATAGAATTTTATAATATAATATAATTAAGATATATTATATATTATAATATAATTAACATATATAAGATATTTAATAAATTAGTGTTTTTAACATTATTCCACTTTCCTCGTGATTGTCCCAAAGTTAAGAATGAGATAATTTTTGGAGATTGAGACAAAAAATTTGTATTAAAGTGAGATAATTTTGAAAAAAATAGGGATAATTATCCCAAGCTCATTGTCCCAATGAATAATACTTTCAAGTGAAAGCACAATCTTATTATCTCAATGAATAACACTATAAAGTAAAGTTTTAAAAATTACCTCATTTATCTCAAAATTATAGCAACCAATAACCCCTAGTAATTATGTACATTAGAACTATTTTCCTATAGAACATCTTCCTATATATTATATTAGATATGAAAAGCCTTATAGTTTTTAAAACATATTTTCAGTTAATTAAGCAGATAAAAAAGATTTCTGCAAAGTTTTTATGGTACAAAATACTTGTCCGCAAATTAATTTTTGTTGCACATAATCATCCGAGAAGTTCCTTCTTTAGGGAAAAAAACAGAGTACCTTTGAGCTACTTCTGTGTACTCTGTCAAGAACAGAAAACCTGCTACAGAGATACCAGATATTTTGGTTCTTGTGATCATTGCAGTCTGCAGAGAGAGAGAGAGAGAAAGAGAGAGGAGAAAATGGAGATGAAGAAGACAAAGAAGACGAGGAGAGAGAAAGAGAGAGGGCCCCCTAAAAGCTTGCACCAAGAGTAATCCCAATCCCCACTCTTCTCTCTCTCTCTCTCCTGCCCTGCCCTTGATTGATGGGCTCTGTACCTCTCCCCCTCTCTCTCTCTGATAAAGTGCTCATGGCCCATTCCTTCAACTCTCCTTCTTTTTCCTGTTTAGGTTCTTTTTAATGTTTTATTTCCACCCCTCCAAAAGGAAATATAAATATTTTTTCTTTACTTTTTGGGTAGATTTTTGTGGGTAAAAGTTGAACTGAGCAAAGACCCAATTTTTACATCACCCTTTGGTTTACTGTGCTTTATAAAAAAAGGAGGGGGGAATGATTGGTTTTCTGTTGAGCTTTGAATTTCTAAGAGAACCCAGGATTCTTATTTGAGATATGAGAGGATTTTTATGGGTTTTTTTTTTCAACTGTTGATCAATCATTGGGAGGTAAACTTCATCATTTTTTTAAATCTGTGGTAACTTGTTTCATCAATCAGAGAGAGCTATAGCATTATTGCTCCTCAGCTCCGGGACCCAATTTTGGTTTTATTTTTTCTTGTTTTAGTTTAAGTGTGACTACTACATTTTCTGGTCACTATGAGATTAGCGACGAACGCTTCATTTGGTTTGTATTCTGTGCGAGTGATAGATGCCTGATATTTTGTCCTTCATTGTTCTCTTGCTTGTTCTCGTGCAATGAGAGCTTCATTTTTGGGTAAAGGGAGAATTTGTTCTGTGCTTAAGCTAAGGAGGGACATGAGAAAGAATTGAAGAGTTTAATCATTTTCTCGACTCCATTGTTTTTTATTTTTGTTCAGGGTTCAGAGCGGAAGTTGGCTGCTCTTACCTGAGATTAGGACATGGGCACTTGCACTCTCACCAGCAAGGTTGAATCCTTACAATGGCTTTGATTTTGTTTTATTTCCTCTTCCCTTGAACGTTCGGTGCATGATCCTTCTCAATATTTTGCTTCATTTCTGGCTTTAAAGAAACATTTGGCTTCCATCAAATTTGTCTGTTAGTGGGTTCATCTTTTTCTCATCTATGCTGTAAGAATGGGAATCCGAAGGTTAGGTATATAGCAAGTGAGGGATATTAAACCATCATTTTGGAATATGAGCATGTTTTGATTAATGCATTTAGTCCTTGTCCATGGCATTTCCATTAAGCTTCAGAACTTAGGATTTTGTTTCTAAATATACTTCAATTTAGACTGTTCGCCATGTTTCTCCGAATTTTGCATCATCAGGAAAAAGTATTCCTTAAAAAAAAAGTTTTAGAAATTAGCCTCCTTACTTTTTTGTTGTTGTTTTCTTAGTCTTTTGTTTTCTTTGTCTTTTACTCATAAAAATATTATTTACTTCTTCCCTTTTGGAGAAGATGTCTTATTTTTGGGTGTCACCTGTAAGTCAGCCAAGGCTTGTAGAATTTTGGATGGCACATTTTGGTAGATAAGTGCAACTCTATGCTCTTCCTGTGTGCCTCTCGGTAATAATTTTGGCTAAGGCCCTATTTTCTGTTAAAAGAAATGTTACTTATATTAATGGGTTGTTTTCTGTTGTGTCACTCTACATGCAAAATGGTTGAAAATTTGGTTCATTAAACTTTTTCATGCGTCGTGCTTCTTAGGAAGATTTGGATATTAATTGGTGACTGTATCAATGGTCCACTGTCTTCCTTCTAGTTTTTTTTGCACATTCCTAATCTCTTTAGCCGATGGTCACACTTACGATACTATGTCACAGTTTCCCTAGGTTTCAGATCATCTCGAGTTGATTTTTGATCGCGATATTTATTATCTCTAGAAGCCAAATGCTCCCATGAGTTGGAAGTGAGAGCATTCCCAGTTTTACGGTAGGTTGGTAGCTATGCAAATTTCCCTATAGATACGTTCACGGAAAAAGAAACCATGAAAGGATGAACTTAACATGATATAATCACTATTTCTTCAATATAACATTAATGGCCTACACCTCCTGTATATGTTATCTTTTTGCCTCCTTGTTTCCTCTCTTAGAAAAGTCGGAAAAGGCTGATAATAGCCGAAAATGCAACAACTGATGTGGAGGAAGTGCATGTTTATTTATAGTTTGTTTGTCTTGGAGTTCTTGGTTTTGGTTGTTCAGGCGAGGTTGTTTTGGGCTCTCCCTTTTGGGATGTTGATATTTTGTTTGATGGTAGGATTCTGATCTGTAGCCTCCTACAGGAACACCTGTTTTCTTTTCTGCAAATGTAAGAATTTGAGACATTCTATTTTCGTTGCTGCAGATGTTTCATTAGACTCTTGTTAATGAAACACAGCGGGTTTACACTCATCCTTCTTAAACAGAAGGGGCTGGTGCCACTTTGAAGGAACCTCTTTTAGAATTCTTTCCGTGGCTTGGGTAGGTTTCAAGAGGTGTGAATCAAGATCTCCTTGTTCATTTGCTACGTACAAGTGAGATATGTCGCTGGTTGCAGTTTATAGAAGAATATGATCTTAACTTACCAGATGGTAATACCATTATGCGATTGAAATCTGACTGAAATTGTGTGAAGTGCTCCATTTTTATAACCGCAATTTACTTTTAGCTTGCATCTCTTAAATGTATTGGCTTGTAATATTGTTTCTAAAAATATTTTGCTTTCAGGGGCAGGTCTGCTTTTTCTCGCGATGGATCTTTGAAGGAAAAAGATAGAATTTAGTCCATCAAGCAGAAGTCACTCTAATTGGATCAAAAATCTGTGGCTCCTTGTGTTTAACTATTGGCTGAAAATCAAAGGCAGTTTATGTATAGCAGAATCTTTCCGTAGTTCTTGGAGTTGTGCTTCAATTTTGTTCACTGGCAAACTTTCAAGTTAGATGCCTATCATGATGGAGAATGATATGTTTACTTCCTCACTGCCAATGACAGATCATAGCCATATGATCTTCAATCCAACTACACCTCAAATGTTATCTGGTTCTTTTATTCAATATGGCATTCAAGACAACCTTAGCTACAGACAGATCATGCCTAGCGCTCCTTTGTTTTCTACAGTGCAGGAGGAAGCACTGAACAACCTATATACTTCAAACAATGGTGACATGATCAATAGTGAGGTTTCGGTTTCTAGGATTATGCCTCACGTCGGAAATATTTCTTTAAATGGATCCGATGGTTTCACAGGGAACTTGATATCTTCATTCCCAAATCTAGCGTCTGCTGAGGCTAATTTGCATGAAAGTTTTATAAGTTTTGGCATTGCTCCAACTTCAGCTTTACCTTCGGAGGAGTTGAGGAACTCCCAATCTACTGATAGCTGCACTACTCACAATTCATCAATTGATGCTTCAATGCATCACGATTTTGGGGTGCCAACAGCCCAAAAGGATGCAGATTTAAGTGCATGTCTAAATTCCAGATGGAATTATGACGATGTCGCTGGGCATCAAATTACAGTTCGTCCATCTTATCATATTTCTGAGAGATCAGAGTTTGGTTTTAACTTTAATACCCCGTACGCTCATTTTGCTCCAGGCAATGAGCTTTCTCTCAGTCTCGGGTCCTCGCAGCCTTCAGTGATCAACTTTTCCACTGCCTCAGATCAATGCTCGGAAGTCAGTTACTCTGGCCTTAAGCATGATTCTACAGGATTGCAAAATCATTGTCGTGGTGTTGGATTTCAATTTCCTCGTGTGAAGTTAGATTCAAGATATCTCAATGCAACCAAGGAAATTCTTGCTGAAATTGCAAGCTATGCACTAGAACATCTGGATGATGTTGATGATCCACTTGATAGAACTGAATGCGAGCCAAAGATGTCCTCGCTTTCTAGTAGCATCAATGGACTACAGAACCAGGAAACTGATGGGAAGAAGTCTGAGCTGTGTACTATGCTTCAAGCGGTATGTAAACCTAGTAGATGGTAGTCATATTTGGGTTATTTTTTATACTAGTCCCTCAAATATTTAATTTTTGATATTAGAACACTGAATCATTGAAAATTAGAAATTAGTTCTCCAAATCCTAACTATTTTGAAATTAGTCCCCGTGGTCAGCAGTTGTTTGATGTTCATTGGAATATTCGTTTAACTATTATGGGGGCCTAATTTCAAAACACTTGGAAGATTTGAGGAACTAATTTGAAAATATGAAGATTTACATATTGCAGTAGGCAAAACTAGTACTATTGGCTTATTAGGTTCAAAATAACTCCCTACACTGAGAAGTAAGGAGGAAAAATATATTTATCCCAAATTGGAACAATCATGAGACTATATATATTTAAGGGTTAATTGCTCATAGAACCCTGTATAATTGCTGTTTTGAACTTACTATCCTGTAGTTACATTGTTGTAGATAAACCTCCTGGTTTAATTTTTTTTTACTCTTTCACCCTGGATGAAATTTTGGAAGATATTGCCCGCAAGTAAAACTTGTGAATCTACTTGAGGGTAAAAGAGTCAAAACTTTTCAATTCAGGGGGTCTATCTGCAACAATGAAACTAGATGGGTAGTAAGTTCAAAACTTTGATAATACAGGGATCTGTGTACAATTAGCCCCGACTTTGGTTAATGCGTAGGACTAGTATTAACACAAAACAGATCAAGTCAATAAAGGATGTGATAGTCGATAAACATAGGATAGAGATTGGGTCACTGGCAACTATATACAACAGTTTCTTTCTGAATTCTCATTTCTTGTTGGACTTGTAGGTCGACCATCAATGTAAACAGTACTTAGACCAAATGCAGAGTGTGATTTCTACATTCAACGATAAAATCAATCTGGGAGCTCCTCAGATGAATGTACAATTTGCTCTTCATACAGTATCCACCTTGTATAAAAATCTGAGGAAAAAAATCGCTAGTCAGGTCATTTCAACTAGTCATAATCACTCTGACAATGAATCATTCAGACAAAAAGAGAGAAACTTCGAATCATCATTTATACAGAAGCAATGGGCTATTCAGCAGCTGAAGAAGAATGATACCCAATCTTGGAGACCTCAGAGGGGCTTGCCTGAAAAATCTGTCTCAGTTCTACGGGCATGGATGTTTGAAAATTTTCTACACCCGTGAGTTTTATTGCAGTCATCATTGAATATCTAGAGAAATACTTGAAACCACTTGAACTATATAATTCAGTCTTTGACTACGATTTCAGGTATCCGAAAGATAGTGAGAAGCAGTTGCTTGCCCTTAAGAGTGGGTTGACCAGGAGTCAGGTAGTTTAAGATTTCAAATACATGATCTTATTCGAGCAATTCAATTATTTCCTTCTGACTAAAGTTTCCTTAGGTCCTTTTCACGACACTATAACTTCAAAGTTGCCCTTGAGGGTTCGGGGTTAATATAATTTTGTAGCCTTAACATGTCAATGCACGGGCCATTTCATGCAACATTATCAATTTTTCACCTCGGGTATGCTTTCAATGGGGTTAATTCCGGAAAGACCCCCTTTACCATCGCCAGATTGAACGTACTACCCTTCTAGTTCTATTGTTGCGGATAGATCCCTCAGTGAAAGTTTGTTGTTGCAGATAGACCCTCTGAAAAGGGAAGAAAATTCACTTGGGCGTTCTATCTGCTACAATAGAATTACAGCAGTAGTAAGATCAATATGACGATTGTACAGCGGGGGCCCTATTCACAATTAGCCCTTAAATGTATGTCAGTGGGATCTGAATTTGGATTAATCTGATACCATTTTGACAATTACAAGTCTCTTCCATGGTACTAGAAGTTTGAGGGCAGTAATTTTAACAAATTCAAATTACTTGAGTTGGGTTTGTAATATTCTTGATTATCATGGTGTCAGGTGTCGAACTGGTTCATAAATGCACGTGTTCGCCTCTGGAAGCCTATGATCGAAGAAATGTACTCAGAAATCAATAAACGGAATCGAACAGAAGAAGGATCTGCAGCTGAAAGTAGAAACAATGGAAGTATTAGCAATCAGAGGATTCGAATGAGTTGAATCATCAAGATTTTGTAAACCTACGAGACAAATGATTGAGCAATCAATTATGTTATTTATTTTCTATATTTGGTAGTGTTTTCCCTCAGTATGTGTTACTCATATGTATATAAGCCATCTACGTTGCATAAACGCAAGTGTTCGCAATTATCTGTCTAAACTTTTGCGCTTGTTTGACGACCGGAAGTATTTCAAGTTGTAATTATAGAATCATGCAGCGTAGTTTATTTGCAAACAATACAGCACGCCTTCGAGTCTCGCTGTGGATATTTTATGCAAAAGTTGTCGCTTTAACGTACTAATACGCAAAATCTTGACTCTTCTGCAATTGCTTAAAGTTGAAGCGCGCATATGCAAAATGTCCTCTCCCTCTCTCTAGCCCCACCCCCAATCTCCAGTTTGAAACCCTATTGATCTCAGGAGGGAGGCAAGAAAATCATCGCCATGGCTTCTCCTTCGTCTCTCTCCCCTCCACCGGTCCCAATGCAGCTCTTCGCTCGGAATCGAGAAAAGCTCCTCCGATCTCTCCGCGATCACCTCGCCTCGATCTCCAGGCCGATCCAGGGGTTCGTCTTGTTGCAAGTAACAAAGATCTCTACACAAGCCTCCCTTTTTTTTGATCATTGCCTGTCCTCGAATTCTGAGGGATTTCTGTGTTTTGTTGATAGGGGGGCGATGAGCAGACGAGATACTGTACGGATCATGCTGAGGTGTTTAGGTACTGGGTTGTTCCTCTGTTCCTCCGGGTTTGGGGTTTGCTTAGATGTGAAGTCTAATGTTCTTGATGATGATTGCAGGCAGGAGAGTTACTTCGCTTACTTGTTTGGAGTGAGGGAGCCAGGATTCTACGGTGCGGTCGTAAGTCCTGCAACTCATTGGTTAGAAATTGCGTAATTGGTCAAAGTTTTCCTTTTTGGTACCAGTCATATGCGGATGATTCTGAAATATCTTTATTTGAACTGTAATCGAGTACAGTTGCGAAATTGCTAGCAGTTTTGCGCTTTAGATTATGAAATGTCAGTGCTGAAGGAGTTTTTTTTTTGGGTTTGGTGCAAGGTAGAGGAGGGATTTGCTTGGACGACTAATTGTTTTTATGGGTGTTGCTTAAAAAGTCTGTTTCTTTTGCTTGGATGAGTCTGGGCTAGGGATCTGTCTTCTACTGTGAGAATGTTGTTGAGGCACGCACATCAGTTCTCAGTATACAATCACATATAAAAGGAGTGATATAGCCTTGAAAAAGAAACGTCGAAAATGAATACTGGAGAAAGTCTTTAGAAGATAATGGCGTCACACAAATATAACATGTATGTTAAATAAGGGTTAACAATTTCTGCAATTTAGTATGTTTAAAGAAAGGGACATTCTAGACCTAAGTGAGTTTATACCATGGAGCAAAGTTTGGGCGGTTTCGTCTAGGTTTTTGTTTTGAAACTGGAAATTAGATTTGATTTAGCTATTTGGGTGGCACAGTTATGCCTTCTGACTAGTTTCTCACGGTCTACGTAAGCTTAGACGAAGCTTATCAAAGTTGAAAGATAGAAAGAGGAAATAATGTGTGCTTGTTAATTAGTTCATCTCCCTTCTAGTCATCTAAAACTCGCAAATCCTAATCGACGATAATCTGATGTATTTCTATTTGGTTTTAATTATAATCTCAATTTAACTTTGATTTGATGACATTCATATTATTGGATTGCTATCTAGATTAATTGTTTGATTGTTGTAAGTTCACTTCTCTTGATTCTGACATCCAGTTAGTCTACCATTTATATTATACACTATTCAAGAAATATACATGTAAAGGATCAAAGATGTCCCGTATCTGGTGATTATGGACACTTGACTACATGTTTATATACACTCGAATAGAAATCAAAACTTGCAAGTTGCAACAATACTTTGAAACTCATAGAACCTGTTGAGACCTTTTATTAGATGACTGTAAGGGTCTGGAAATGGAATCATGGAACTAATTCTTGACCTTTGGTGTATGCATGGAAAAGTTACACTGTTTGCGAAACAAGGTTCCAAAGGCTTTTAACTCTGATGTCCTTTCAAATCTTAGTATCTTACAGTCGAGAAGACAAAACTTGTTATCTTATTTGCTTATTTGTTTCTTTTTGATACACTGCATGATGAAGTAGGATTTCGTCAGAAGATTCAATTCCTTAAACTTAAAACATTTGGTTCAGTTAAAATTGTCTGATACACAAACTGTCTTCTTTAATTATCTCTTATTGCAAATTTCAGTCGTAAGTCGTTGTTAGAGTGCTCATTATATACATCTATCTCTCATATTTTCTTCACGGGTTACTGCATTCGTTAAGTCTTCTCCATTTATTATTTTTTGATCCTGCTATTATTCTATTTTCTAAAAGGATGTCAGCTCTGGTCGTTCATATCTGTTTGCTCCAAGGTTACCTGCTGAATATGCTGTTTGGTTGGGTGAGATAAAGCCGTTATCTTATTTTAAGGTGAATTCCTATTCGAACTAGTTATACGTACAAATTTATGTGACGTTATCTTACTTTAAGGTGAATTCCTGTTTGAACTAGTTACACATACAAATTTATGTGCTTACTTTGTCTTCGAAAACACTTAGGGTTTTTTCCTTTTTCTTTGCCAACATTTCTTTATCTACAGGAGCGGTACATGGTTGACATGGTCTTCTATGTTGATGAAATAGTACAAGTTCTACATGATCATTTTGGTGAAGCTGGAAAGCCTTTACTTTTCTTGCTGTATGGGCAGAACACTGATAGTGATAATTTCTCAAAGCCTGCAGAACTTGAGGTGCCTAATTGTCCCATTAATATTACTGTTACTGTGAACTTGCTTTTGTTTTCTATTGTTGTTTCAATAGTTCTGTTTTTGTAGTATGTTAGATGGAGTAATTGGAACTTTTTTTTTCCAAATGTTTCATGTGATATTTCTCAGTCCTATTCCTTTGTCGCCTAATATAAAGGAACATCATGTCATGTTTTATGTTTGAAAAGTAACTAACCCAAAGTGGGATAGCCAAATTTTATTTACAGGAAAGCGTAAACTATGATTACATAATATTCCAATATGAGGTTGCTCAAAAAGTTAATCTTCCAATGCGAGAGTTAATCTTCCTAATACATTAATTAGTCTAATACTTTCCCTCAAATTAGAGTATATATATAAGTCATGGCAACCTACAAACCCATTCTATGGAACTTTTATACTATTCACATGCTCTGTATCTAGAATTATGACTTCTTGATAGTAACTATGCTTTTAGTTTGTCATCAATAGACTATTTACTGAAAGTTATTGCAATATTTAGAATGAACACCCTGATATTAGTAAGTCAGGGTATTGGAATATTTGCATTTTCTGTGTATTGCTTCAGTTTTTCGACCTGTTAACTAGCGAACTACATGAAATTCTAGCTTCATGTCTATCTTTATTAATGTCTATCCTTATTATCAAATCTTCTTAATCTTTTGTGAGTACTTGTTATGCCTTAGGAGATGGAGAATTTTGAAACTGATCTGAACACTCTACACCCAGTTTTAACCGAATGTCGTGTTATTAAGTCTGAGTTGGAACTTGACCTCATTCAATATGCCAATGATGTAAGCTCAGAAGCTCATGTTGAGGTAATGTCGACTCTCCTGCTTAATATCATTCATCCTATACGTTATACTTATTTTTTTACGATCCAATGCAAATACTTTATCAGTTTTCAGAAATTTTTTATGACCAAACAAATAATTGTCTACCTAGAGCATATTTCTCTACCAACTTCTTTTGGCTATTGCATCTTGTTTAAGCCGTTTGTTCTCAGCTTTATATTTTTTGTTTTTATTTATTGTTGCTACGTGGAGTCGCGGACAATAAGCTATACTTGTTGCATATATCTTTGAATCGTCTTCTAATCTTTTTGTTTTATTGGCATCTAGAAAAACGGATCTCCAACTTATGACAGCCAAACTCGAATATTCATAGAATAAAATTTTTAAGTTACCAAACCAATGGTTGTCTACATGAAAGATATTCCTCTACCAACTGCATTGAACTATTGCCTCTCGTCATTGACTTTAAGCCAGTTGTTATCTGCTTTATATTTATTTATTTTTCTTTATTGTTCTACACTGTCATTTATCTTTGAATTATGTTTTTTCCCTATTCTTTTTTGCTTTACTAGAATTTAGGGCATCGAACTTATTAATGTCGAAACGTGAACATTCATGGAATAAAAGTTCAGGTGCAAGGTTTTAAAAGGGGCGCCTTGCCCGTCTAGGTGTCCTCCTGGGCCTATGGGGTACCTAGGCCACCCGTTGGGAGCACCTAGGGGAGCATGATTGCACTGCTTAAGTATTGGTGGTGATTTTCTCCAATACAGCCTCCACATCCTTCAACCTCCACCAAATTCGTCTAGTCTACACTAACTGTGAAAATCTCCTCTGCCTTCTCTTCCTTTCAGAAAACCTCCTTGTCCACAACAAAAGAAAACCTCCTAGATGTCTGGTGGTGCCTAGAGCTTTCTATAACGTTGGCCACCATTTATTATCAATTATTGTAACTAAGAAATAAAGAATAGCAAAAACTGCTTAGGCTCCGCCTAGGCAGCCAAATGCTTTCTAAGACCTTGTTTAGGTAACATACATGGAGCCTAGGCCGGTAAGCGGTTTCTAAAACCCTGTTTAGGTAAAACATACATTCTTTCAGTACCATACCATGCTGCTTGTCTATGGTATTTATTTCTTCAATACTTGTAATGATTTACCTGATTTTCTAGTTTTTCATCTTTATTTGTTCTCACAGATCTAACATATTTTTATAAGGTTATGAGAAAAATAAGACCAGGCATGAAAGAATATCAATTGGAAAGCACCTTCCTTCATCATAGTTATATGTATGGCGGTTGCAGGCATTGCTCATATACATGCATATGTGCTACTGGTGAAAACAGGCAAGATTGTCTTTGTGAAATAGAGTACTTTCTTAAACAGGAAAGAGATACCATTACATTTTAATTAGTAACCTCTTATATGTATGGATTTGCTTTGCAGTGCAGTTCTTCACTATGGTCATGCGGCTGCTCCAAATGACAGGGTATACTTATTGTTATTGTTCAACATGAAGAATCATCTGATATTGCAATATATTATTGTTTCCCACTTTATGCTTCACATTCTATTTTATGCCTTTTTTTTCTTCAATTGATTTTTTTCCTTGAATTAAAAATTGACTACATGTATACCTGTAATAATGTAATTGTTCTGTCATCTCTAGACATGCTATTCATCCCTGTGTGTTTGATGAAACACATAATGTCACATCCTAATGATGGTAGAAATACAAGAGGCGTAAAGCGTATTTTTCCAATGAAGATAAAGGCACTTTGTTCTTTTTGTTTTACTGGCAAAATAAGCCAAAAATAAAGGTGTTGGAACAACACTCAAAATTTAAGATTGTTGCAACATCATGAGTTGGAACACCAACATTTGTTGTTCCAACTCCTACCAAACACACCCTAAATGGAAATACTTAATAAATTGGTAATCTACAGAAAAATTTACATGGCTTAGATCTGAATGGTAAGAAGGTTTGCTGGATTTTCTGTTAACATTGAGAAAGGGAATTGTTGAAGGAGATATTCATTACAAGTAGTAGTCTTTCTTTTGCATAGAGTTCAAAACCTGAAATATCTCTAGACTTCCAAACTCTTTAACTGCGTACTAAAGAAAGACGCCAAAACTTACATTCAAGCGAAGGAATAGTAGGATCTTATTTAATATGAAAGAAAAAAGAACAGAAATCTAGCTTGACTTTTACCATTATTTACTCCTATTTTGATGATAAAAAAATGTTTTACCATTCAAAAATGTAGAGGAATTGTTCTTTCTCTTACTGATCCTTGCATCTTGAGAATCTGCTACCTCCTTAAATTTCCTCCATGAGTTTTCAAGACTAGCATGAATACCCAAATTTTAATCTAGCTTTCGATGTTGAGCTGAGGAAGTATTTAAGGTTTAAGGCTACATGCATTCTTACCTTTTGATTGTTTATTCAACATGATCATCCATCACCTGTTTCAAATCTATGAAAAAGTGAGATTTTTATCGTGAACTGAAGTGCTTCATTATCACCTTGTTAGATTCTAATGGAATGACTAACATTATCCTTTAATATCTCATATACAGTGTGCTTTCACAGTTCCGCTTGTACATTCATATCGGGTTCCCTTATTCTCCTTTTCTTTTTTCCTTAGGATTTTTCTATGACATAGCATATCACTTGTTCCTTTCCTAATTTTGTTGTTTAAGATTTGTTGAGGAGCTCAATTCTGATCTTGATACTGCTTGATGAACCTATATTATCATTAGAGTCTGACCTTGAAAATTGAAGATGAAAAGAAAAGATATTTTATTATGGGTTTGAGTTTGAAACTGAACTAACTGGTAGCATATTCAACACTACTATGCTGTTTACCATTCTGTATTGTGTATTTACTTCATAATTCCTTTTTTTTGGGGTGGGGGAATTTAGTAGTTAATTCTTTTTCTGTCGAACTGTTAAGCGAAGGTGGCAATGAAATTACCTCATTCCTCAATGAAGTTGAGTTCCTTTCAGTCTGTAACTTAACAGTTATATATGTTTGCAGACTTTACAAGATGGAGACATATCTTTGTTTGATATGGGAGCTGAATATCATTTTTACGGTTCAGATATAACATGTTCATTCCCTGTGAGTACAAGTATTATTTTACCTTTTTTCTCTGTACAGCCATCCAAATTAGTTCTCGTAGGTACTTTAGTCATTCGAAGTCATATCTGTCAAAATACTCTGAAGTCTAAAAAGTTCAGGTATAAATGTTCATGTTGTCCTCTTCCATTTTTTACATCAGTCTTCTTTGCTTGCATTAATATGTTTTTGTTTTAGTTTGGTTATGTTAGTTGCTCTTCGGTAAAGTCCACTCTTGTAGGTAGAAATTATTGTCAAGTCTGTATTTCATGTTATAGTGTGACTCTGTGAGCCTAAGTACTTTTTAGATTCAGCCATTTAATCCTTGGGTTCTGTTCAATTATGGAACAACATCAGTTTGACTGGTGGAAATAAATTCAGGAGACTTGATGTTTGTTATCAGTCTAATTTAGATAAAGGAGATGTTACATAAGCCATCAGATCATATGGCAGGCCTGGCTCCATGATGAAAGAGTGGGGTTGGTCTTTGAGGTACAGGTTCAAATCTTTGCTGTAGCCTTCGTTAGAAAATGAGAAGGAAAAATCATATGTTGGAGTTTGGGCTAGCTCTCGTATATCATTCACTTCTGAATTTAAGGGATACAGTTGATGATTGCTAGACTATAATGGGAGCTTGGTCACTAGAATATGCACAAGTACTTAGGGGTGTCTATGGTTTGGATACAGCTTGGATATAATACTTACCATATCTGTATCCGTTTGTCATTCATGGATGCGGATATGGATATGCCTTGGTAAGGAAAACTGATACCTATATCCGCTAAAATCGGATACAGATATGGATATATATGCAGATATACATGTGAATGCTAAACGCATATGAGAAGACCAAATAATGTTGGAAAATTATATAATTGATACGATAGAAGATAGTTCATTAATATGTTCGTTATATCTAAAAAACTAAGATTGGATCTCTTGATCATCAAAATTAGTCTCAAATCTATTAATGTAAGGATTAAAATAATTGCAACTGTATGATCAACATATATTCAGATATTTGTATACAGATATAACTGTATCCATAACCATATCCTATTCGTTATAGATTTTACTAAACATACCCATATCCTAACGGATACAAATATATCCACGGATATGGATATTTTTGTGTACCCCAAGTCAAAAATCCTTGAAGAGATGTTTCCATATAAGTGAGAACCAAGTTTCTTCAGATTGAGCTTTTATGATTTTATGTTTTGAGCTCACTAGAGTAATGTGCTGTATGTGTATACTCTGGGTATTGATTTCATTTTGTACCTATAAATTGGTTATATTGCTTGGTTTACTAATGCCATGGCTAGAATTCTGAAAAGATTCCTATTTCCTACTCTTCCTGTCAAAAAAATTGTGGTCAAGTTTGGCTCTCGATATACTGACTATTGACATTTATGTGAGTTGCAGGGGCGAAGCCAGGATTTCATCCAGCTTAGGCACTATTGTTTTGAGCAATTCCTACGAAAGCATTGCTATAAAGACAGTGAAATAACAAATAATAAAACATAAATACACATTTTAGTACCATAAAATTAAGTATATGCATTTAAATGAAAAACATACATTTAAATGAAATTTTCAAATATACATTGTAAATTTGGGACGTATAAACTTTTCTATATGAGTTAATGGAGAACAAGTTATGATAGTCAAAAAGTTAAGGCTGAAGTAGCAATAATATGGAAATCACCAAAATCATTATAATATAGCTAATTAGGTTTCAGTAAGGTAAAGCTGTTTTGCTTCCATGGCAAAAGAAAAATGAGTCTAGGCACTAAGCTTTTGTTGCTAGTACGCTAGGATAGATCTTACGTAACTACAGAAGTTTTAAATTTGAGGTAGGGCACGTGCCCTGCCTCATTTGTATGTGGCTCCACCTAGGTGAGTTTGGTATATTGTTGAAGTTGCAGTCATGAATCTGGATTACATTTCAAATTTTGGAATTCAGGTAGTTCCTTTTCCCCCCGCTAATGGTTGTGTTGAGTTTTCACCTGGCTCTCGCGGTCTTGTGGTCTCTCCCTCCACCACATGACAATCAATTATTAAAGATAAATCTCATCGGATATCTGAATTGTCGATGGTGGGAATCAAACTCCTTTCCTTTTATTTTGGAGAGTAACGCCTTGGGCCTTGACATATTTGCTTTTGGTATCTAAGTAATACTTGATGTCTAGCATTTAATAGTATTTTGTTATTTTGGCCTTTTAGGAAAGGCAGGATAAGGCACTTCATCTTGTAGCCCTGTTCTTGGTTATCAGTAGAAAGATTCTTGCAATTATTTGAGATAATCAGATAAATGTCATTGGACATCTCCGTTGTAGATGGTGAGAATTGAACTCATTACTTCTTACTTTGGAGAGTAATGCCTTGCCCCCTTGACATAGTTGCTTTTGGTAGCTAGGTAATACTTGACGTATAGCATTTAATAGTAATCTATTATTTTGGCCTTTTGGGGAAGGCAGAACAAGACACTTAATCTTGTAACCCTGTTCTTGGTTATCAGTAGAAAGATCCTTGCAATATTTTTACAAAGCGCTAGGTGCTTCTAGACACCAGACCAAGCGCCTAGTGCCCAGGCAGGCGTTTAATTGGCATGCGGGCTTTTTTAGCATCAAGAGAGGAAGGATTTTTTTGAAGATTAACAGTCTATCCTTGCGGTTTACCTAAGATGGACTTGGATATTGTGTTTTTATTTGACTTGGACCATTCTTTTCTTTTGTTGCTTATGCCTAAGTGAGCAATATACCCCTTATGATGTGGTGCAGTCCACCTAGGCAGCCCATCCTCCTCTAGGCGCTCCAAATACCAAGATCGGCTGCCTAAGTACTGTGCAGGCCTAGGCGGGCACTCATACCGCCTTTTAAAACAATAGATTCTTATGAACAGCAAGTGGTTGCACCGCAAATCCCCGCCAGCATTATGCAATGCAAGTGGAGTATTGACAGTCTGACTGCAGGAGTGTATCTGGATTCTGATTAAGGTATATTAATTTCTGGCGACCACAATTGGGTAAAGCATGAATACATGATTGCCCAACTGATGGTATCAACTGGTTAAATATAGATGTAGCATAGTCATAAGGGGGGGTTATTCATTGGGGTAATTTTGGGGATAATGGGTAAAATTGTTCCAATGAGGTAATTTTACCCAATGGGATAATTTGGTGGGATAAAGTGTGGTAAAATGAGATAATGGGATAATTTGAATAGGACAATTTGTATGACATCTTTTTATAATATTATATTTATAGCTCAATTAAGTTCAAGTTTAACTTGATATAACATCAAATATTTGTATGACATCTTTTTATAATATTATATTTATAGCTCAATTAAGTTCAAGTTTAACTTGATATAACATCAAATATTTGTATGACATCTTTTTATAATATTATATTTATAGCTCAATTCATATTGACACAACCTGTTCTTCCTGTGGATTTTACTTGCACTTCTTGGGAACGTCAGCAATTACAATGGCGATTCAAGATAACATTTCGCCGATTTCGTTTACCTAGATCCCCTCTGCATTTGCTGTAGTGCATGGATTTTATCATCCATAACATAAGTCGTTCTCCTATGATCTATCAGATTACTTGTTGCTAGCATTCATCATATGCTTGATTTTTCACATGCTCCTCTAGTTGAACTATGTGTAAAAGATATGGTTATGCTTACATCAGCTACATAAATCTGTGGGAAAAAACATCACGGCATGAAATAACTACTGAGCTTCCTAGAATTACAGAAATCAACAGCCATGTTACTTCAAGTGACAATCCATATTGATACAAACAGTTCCTCTGTAGGATTGAAACCTGCAATGATACTGACAATACAAAGCTAATCCTTCCATACATCTCCTACCTAAATCTGCCCTGCCTTCTTGTAGTATACAGGGCTTTTAACATTTAGCAAGGTAAGTCGTTGGCCTTGCAGTGTATTTTCTATGGTTTTGTAGCTGATAAGCATTCATATGCAACGGGTCATGCATAAAAGATACAGTCAAGCAAATGAAACTCCCCTTGTCAAGAATCAAGAATCAAAATCTTGCCCTAATTTCTTCTCATTTGGCATTCACATCCATCAAACCCTCAACAAATTTTATAACGAACACCACATACCCAAATGCGAAAGCCTCAAGATCAAATTTCGGCATCAGATTGGGTAACTG